AGAAACTAGTTAGGTCTCTGCATGAGAAGGGTATATATTGGTATATCTTTAGATTAGGATCAAGGGGTCCTTATTTTGCAGGGTTCAATCTTGTCATTTGTCAAAGATTTACAACCTCAATTATTAAAAAAAACTTTTAATTAAGTTGATATTCAAAGAATTCAAGATTAGAATTTGCTTACTGCTCATTTCCTCAGAAAAAAGCATTTTATTTAAAATGTTCAAAAGTCAAGTGACTTACAAACATTTAAACATAAGAAGTACAAAAGAAAAACAAGTTCAAACAAGATGACATGCATGAGAATGCAACAAAACTTCTGATGGATGCCCTCAGCCTACTCCTGATCATAATGCCCCATTACACATTGAATGTCCTACAATTCTCAATGGTGTGCACTGAGCTCCTAATGGTGTGCACTGAGCTCCCAATGTGATAGATGCATATGACATTTATATAATGTCCTTTAGGATATGGGGTCTCTCTTGGTTTAGATTGAACCAGAGTCACTAGGTTCCTCTCAACTAGCATTGAGATCAATTCCTCATACGTCATTGGGATTGGATCGATGCGAGTCTTTTCATGGAATACCTTATGAGGTTTGGTCCCCATACTTGCTAGATAAGATTCCACTAGTTTAATCTCAGCTCTTTCCTCAATGTCATTACTACTAGTACCTCATATCTGGCCATTCTTGACTGCTCTTTCGATCATTTCTCATCACATGACGATGTCAGAGAAACTATTGGTGGAAGCTCCTATCATGTAGTTGACATATGGAGGTTTTAATGTATCAATGAATAGAGTGATGAACTCTCTTTCAGTCATTGGTGGATGTGCTTGAGATGCAACATCCCTTCATCATTGTGTGCATTGTCGGAAGCTCTCACCACTCTTCATTTCCATATTTTACAGTGTTGTTCGATCGGGGGTCATATCAATCATATATTTGTATATGCCTATAAATACACTATCCAAATCCTTCCAGGAGCAGACTTGAGTACGACTCAGCTGATTATACCACCTAGAAGTGGGTCAAATCAGACTGTCTTGGAAGTAGTGGATCAATATCTGATCATTGTTGGTGTATCCAATCATCCTTCGAACAAACATCATGAGATGGACATTAGGGCAACTGGTTCCATTATACTTTTCAAAGTCGGGCATCTTGAATTTGGACGGAAGCACCAAATTAGGAACTAAAACTAGTTCGATTGCATCTATTTCATTATGAGAGCTATGTCCTCTCATTCCTTTGAAGGTCTCTCTGTACCACTGTTTTAAGTTCTCAGAGATCTCATTTTTGGCTCTTCTCGTTGCCTTAGGAAAAGATATGTTATGATCAGTAGAATTACCCTGAGAATTTAACATAATTGTATGAGTTTTAGTGGCAGAGAAGCCTGCTTGGTGGCTAAGAAGCTTGTGGGGTGAAATGAGTATCAGTGGATTAGCATGGGCCATCACACATTCAAAGGTTTCCATAGTCAATGAAATATTCTATTTGCCTTTTTCTTGGTTGAGCCCAATTAGTTTGACCACAAGTTGATTAGCCAGGTTATTTTGGTTTTGCAAGGTACGATCCATGGTGGTCTTTTACATCTGCTCCATTTTAACTTCCCATTCTGTTTGCATCTTTTGCAAACTCCCTTCCAGCTCTTTCTTCAGCTGCTCAAATTTTGATTACATGCTCAATACTGTGTGAATGAAGTTGCACAGTTAAAAACACTTCCTCAGAGTCTTCCATGAGATAACCCATGAATCCATGATTAATTCATGTAAAAATACTTCAATGAGTGCCATGCAGAATGCGAATATGCAAATGCATATGAAAAAAAATGTGAAAATGTTTAAATAAATGCAATGTAGAATGCAAATGTAAAATGTATCGATTTCCAAAAGTAATCATTTTTAGAAAGAGTTTCATTCATCCAAAAGAATTTTCATCTTTCCAAGAGAGATCAATCTACGAATACAATTTGTGATACATAATCCCCTGGCAAACTATCTCCTTTTGGATCTTTGTGTTTTTCTTTCAGATCAAGCTCCGACCGTCAGATTGTGTTCTTCCTTGTTATGAAAACTCTTTTCCATTTTAACGATCGCTCTTCTATTCTGATGATTACTTGGTTAATCAACACATTTCTTTTATTTATGATGATCATGCAATGCCAAACAATAATAAAAAAATTCAATTATCAAGCAAATATCAAGAAAATAAAATAATGCAGGTAAAAAGAAGAGGTTTAAACTCATTTCTTCTTTGTATACACTTGTTTTGGGTACCTACTGATGGACAGAGGTTCGATGTGAATTTTATCGGGGTAAGTTACTAGGGCTCACTATATGCAGTATTGGGTTCTAAGAAAAAGGTAATCGAATTATCCATGTTGGTGCCTCCTTAGGCTGTCAAACCCTCAATCCTGGCCCATTATAGGCTCGTGCGGATCAAGTTCAATTCGAGAGGATACATTCCCTTGTGTCTATATGGAGAAAAAATTTATCTCACGTGGACATAAGGTATATGAACCCCAAAGGTTACTTGCTAAACCCATACGGAGAAATAAATTATCTCACGTATGATAAGCTTTTACCTCAACTTAAAAGGAACAAAGCTCGTAAGTGAGCTTATTATTTTACATATACGTGTTGTGTGTGAGGAGAAATTCACAAACCTTTGAAAACACAACAAAAGACAACACTTTCACCAGTTCCAAAAATCTGTTTTAATCTGAAGACCACTGAAATACAAAATTGATTAGTTAAAAGTAGAATAATGCATAATATGTCGAAACTCAAAATAAATAAAAGGATCGTAAATTAAATATAATTTAAGTTTGTAATTACCAAATACAAAACAACGTATAATCATTCATGGACTGACTCTCAAATTCCCAGCAGAGTCGCCAAGCTGTCATAACGTCTCCTCGGGGGATCCGTTAGACTTAAAAATTTACTTTCGAGGCAAGTGATGAAATATGATTTTTGAAAAACACACTGATTTTAGAGTCACCACCAACCTTTAAGTTAGGTAGGTCGAAAACCTTAAAATAAGAAAAATGGTATGCGTTTTACCAAAAATTCATTTTTAAGAGTCCGAGAGTCGATTACGTACGGGGAAGGATGAGCACCCCCACAACGACCAAACTTTGGTACCTAAACGATTATACGTTGTTTAAATATTGGTAATTACAAACTTGAAAATATATTTAAATTAAGATCCTTTTATTTATTTGACTTTACTCAAAAAGTGTCAATTTTCAGATAATTAATGCTATTTTGTGTGAACAATCTTCGGGAATGCACTTCCTTTGCAGTTAGAAGACTTTTCCATAAATTCCCCTCACAAAAGAAATTATTTCACATTTTTAACAAAATAAAATAAACTAAAAAAATAGGTCAAAAATAAATAAACGTAAAGCGAAGAAAACTATTGAATAAAAACATTTATGCGAAAAATCATCAAAAAATACCTTCCCTTTAGTTGGGAGATGTCTTTGTAGATTTCCCTCACATTGAAACTTTCTCATTTACATACATAAAACAATGATGAATTATAAAAATAAGGTGGACATAATAATACCAATATGCACATGCAGAACAAAGAAATAAAATTTCATACAAAGAACGCTTACAACACTACTTAATTTATATACATGCATACATGAAATTATAACTGTAGAAAAAACAAAGTTACAAATTTGGACTACAATGCACATTTACAAAAATGTGAGGCTAAAATACAAATAAAAATAAACTTGATTCGTAAAATAAAGGACTAAATAGTAATAACAGTAAATTGAAAGACATAATAACGAACATGGCAAACATCAGGGCAGAAATAAAAAATTCACATAATACATGTACTGATAAGGAAAATAAACCATACATAATATACACGACTAAAATGAAAACGATCAGAAATAAGTGCATAATTCGAAAGAATCATAAAACATGAACCAAAAGAGACTCATGACCAAATTGTAATACGGGTAAAATCAGATGCTTAAAATAAAACATATTCCATTTTATGACCCAAGTACAAGAGTTATACAAAATACGTGGACTGAGTATGCTAATATCCCCTTACATCAAAGTGCACAGCCCCTTTTTAGCAAAACGACGTAGCATTAGGGATCTGTTAAAATCCCTTTTATGAGTTATTAGAAACCCTAATATCATTTCACAAACCCCATTTCAAGTGTGCTCTATCATTCTCCCCATTCTTCCCCATTTTCCACAAGAAGAAAAAAAAGAATGAAGGAATGGAAAGTCCCCAACCACTCGACCACCACAGAGTACGACGCCGGGGACCAAAAACGAAGGAAATCCGACCCCGAAAACAACTCCCTCTAAAGCTCCACCCAAAAATCAGTCTAGAACTCTCTTAAATTCAACCAACGTCACCAAATCTACAACCAAACTAACCCTTACCTTCAAAACTTCAAAACTTTAGGCCGGAGAAAGTCAAGGCCTATTCGGCGAAGATAATGGAAGCCTCTTTCATCTCTTTTGTTTTTTTTCCCGAATGGTTTAACTCTCTCTTTTTTCTTTTTCGATTTCGTTTCCCCTCTTCTATGATATTTTTCTTTTTGTTTTCCCTCTTTAATGGTTGCATGTTGGATTTAAGGGTCTCTTTCGGGTGAGATGATGAGGTCTATGGGGTTAGGAAATAAATCTCTGATTTTTTGCTGATGAAATCTCGTATTTTCAGGATTTAATCTATTTTTTAATGGGTTTTGATTTAGGCTACTGTTTTCTCTGATTTGGGTTGTTGTTGATGTAGTTTGATGACGGCTCACGCGTGCGGGGAGAGGGGCAGTGAAGCACATACGCCGGCTGGAAGCTGGAACGTTGGGCGGCGGCAGCTGTTTAATTATCACTAGAAACCCTAATTTTTTTAGGGTTCTGGGTCAGGTAGGACACGGGCCCCAGTTGCAGTTGGGTTGGTACCGGGTTAGGTTGTGGGTCTTGAGTGTTGGGTTGTCTGTTTGTAGTTGGGCTCCTAATTATATTGGGCCTGCAAAAAAATTGTAATATGTAAACAAAATAATTAATAATAATAATAATAATAATTTTGTAGACCCGGACAAAAACGGGTGTCTACAAGATCATCCAAGTCTCCTTCTAACATCTGAACTACCTCTTTCATCGATGGACGGTCGACGGGATACCATTGAATGCACCAAAGGCCAACAATGGTGAGCTTCTTTGCTACCCCTGTTTGTTCTTCATCTTCAATTCTGATCCTCAGCTCCTCCCCTTTATCCAAACACATATAATCCCATTCCAGTAAGTACACTTGACTTGTATTCTCCACCGTAACATCTATGTTCCTTCTCCCTCCGACCATTTCAAGCAATAACATTCCAAAACAGAAAACATCAAACTTATACGAGACGTTGCCGAAGTTGCGAGACAGTACCACGGGTGCAATGTATCCCATGGTTCCTCTTGCAGTTGTCATTGAAATAGCACTTTGTTCCTTGGAGCACAATTTAGCAAGGCCAAAATCAGAGATCTTAGGGTTGAAGTTGTGATCCAGCAGAATATTGTGAGGTTTGATGTCGAAATGGAGGATTCGTTGCTCGCAACCTTGATGGAGGTACTCGATACCTTTGGCTACACCGAGAGCAATATCCCGAAGCCTCTCCCAACTCAGGGATCGTTCCTCGCCCTTGGCTGCAAATATGAACTTCTCTAATGACTCGTTCGGTAGGTATTCATAAACCAGAGCTCGATCGTATCCATCGGCACAAAATCCAACCAGGCGAGTCACGTTCACGTGGTGGATTCTACCCATCGAACCCACTTCATTGATGAATTCTTCACCATTTCCCTTGAAATTATTGAGTACCTTGACAGCAACCAAAATGTCAGTGGAAAGTCTACCTTTGAAGACAGTTCCATAACCTCCTTGTCCAAGTTTGTCCTTGAAATGATCAGTTATCCTTTTAATATCAGCATAGGAGTATCTCGAGGGCTTAAGCGCTCTGTAATCTTCCAAAAACTTTTCAATCTTGAGTTCACCTTCTTTCTGCATTTTATCTGTGTAGTATCTCCAGCCAACTCCAACGACAACCATTGCAAGAACTAAAGAACCTAAGACAATACCTGCAAATCATACATTAATCCCATGTTAGATCACGATTTATCATCTGTCTTAACAAACAAAAGTTAAAAGGGAAAATCTCATTTACAAGTAATCAGCAGCCTTTCTCGTGTACCTGCAAAACATTGAAATTATTCAGCTTGGTACATGGGAAATTAAGCAAAAGGGTTCTTTCATTCAAGTTAAAAACATACTTATGTGGTGCTTGGGGATGTAGAAACACTCGGTTTCATCCATTGTGCTGTTGCTCTTCAGTCTACATCCCTTGCCTTGAGCTTCACAATCAGTACAGTCTGGTTCATTCCAGCGTAATTGAAAACGGATAAGATCGGAAGAAATTGGTACCGAGAAATTGCCGATCATGCTGCAGTTCAAAAAGTTATAAAAATATGAATGGCCATGAGAAGGAAAAGCTATGATTTGTGAGTCAGAGGTGCTTAAGCAAGCGACTCTGTATCTTTCATACAAAGCCTTGTCTTTGCTTGAACACTCGAAAAAGGTATAGGATGAAGCTGGTTCGGGTTGAAAAACTTTTAAGCGGCTGAAACCTAGCTGTTGGTCCAGGTCCAAGAATGGAAAAGTAGATAAATTGAGCTCTAAAAGCTGTTTATAGAGGCAACGATTGGGATCGTACAAGTCGATCCTCTGAGCTTCATAATCTATGTGCTTCACTAACAGCTTCATTGAACGTGGAAGCTTCACCAGGGTCTGGTTGTTTTCTGAGCACGAAAGTTGAAACCCAGGATGAGGATAGCCACAGTTGGGTGGCTGCTGGTCTTGTAATCGGAACGGGAACTGGACGGGTGGCTCGTGGTGGTTGCACCGCCGGACGTGGCAGTCGGCTTGGATTGAGACAGCTTCTGCAAAATTGACAGTCGAGACGAGGCAGAATAATGAGAAAATTACCATTGTTATTAGCAGGGATTCAAAATAGCGGAACTCAATAAGAGTTAACGGTAAATAGCGACGATAACGGGACGTTATTCTCGTTATTCAACCGTTACTTGAAAAAAAAGATTTCTGAGGTCAAGAGCTGCGTTGCCAGTGAAGAAGCAATGGAGTCGAAGGACCGAGGGTTGTTCGATTTCATGGGGAAGAAAAAAGAGAAGAAGCCCCAAGAAGAGCCGCTCGTAACTGAGTTTGACAAGGTTAAGATTAAAGAATCAAAGCCAGAGAAAGAGGGAGAGGAAAAGAAGCATGGTCTCCTGGAGAAGCTTCACCGATCAGATAGCAGCTCTAGGTAGCAGGACATTGATGGAGTATTGAATCCGGCGGCAGCGAATAAGATTTCTTTAGGTGGCCATGATGGTGCATTTGAAACCACTGCTGTTGAAACCACTAATCCAACAGACTTGCTGGATTATACTTATAAACTGCTGTTGAAACCATTATTCCAACCGACTTGCTGGATTCTACTGATAAAAATATGTTGGACGCAAAATATTAGGAGACTAGTATGTATAAGACTGTATTGGAAGGGAGGAAAGGGGAGTTGGCGGATGGTGAAGTGGAGAGAAATTATGATTTGGAGGTTTAGATTGGGAATAAGTTGAGAAGATATGCCTTTTTGGTTAAATTGTGTGATGGAAAAGTGGGTACTCAATTATAATTATTATGTTTTAAAATTAATTGTACGAAATTTAAAAAAATTCAGATCACGACATTTGTAATGATCGCGATGATATCCGTTATCTGTAACCGCGATAAATACGATGCGACAAAAATGTGAACGTAAAACTATTTAAATACCTGGTTATTAGAAACATGTGAGCCCCTGAAGTGAAACGTTCGATTGATATCGGTGGTTCAGCTCTTCAGAGTTCAGATTACGCAAGTGCTGCTTTTAACAATTGCAGTGCTTTGTCTTGTCTTAATTGGAAATAGCTCAGGCCAGCTTCGCGGGAAGTTTCCTTTTCCGTTTTAAAACCGGAGACAAGACAGTCAACAAAGACTTTAAAGTCAACCTTGCCAATTACTACTTTCCTTGAGTGGTAGTAGTGGTGTGGTGGAAGGGGGGGGGGGGTGCGCGGGAAGTTTCCATTTCCCCACTTTTGCTTTATTAGTCGACTGATTTTTCGAAAGCAGATGTTGCTTTCGGTCACAGCCATAGAATAAATTAATAATTTGGCAGTGAAGAGTACACAACATCATTGTTTATTTCCTCATCGGAGCTTAACCGGAACTTCATGATGCTAAGCCCCAAACATCTCTTGTTTAGCTTCTTGTCCCTTACTTTATCTCTATCCCCAGATGTTTCCGATGCTAGACCAGGCAGAAGCAACCACTGCGGCCCTTCTTTGTGTGGAAACGTTGAAATCAGTTGGCCTTTTCGACTGAAAGATCAGCCTCACAAGTGCGGTGACAAAAGGTTTGAACTTGAGTGCAAGGGAAACCGCGCGGTCAGTTTTCGCATGAAATATGGGAATTTTTATGTCCTAGACATCTCTTATGTTAACCAAACGATTCGACTCGTGGATGCGAGCCTGATCGACGGTAACTGCTCAATTCCTCGCAGTTCCATTCCTAACTACAACAGCAATGATGAAGATACAGTAATTTTGTATTCAGCTTACACCATGTATGTGGTAAATTGCACGACAAAGATGAACTCTTCCGTTTACGTGATGCTTCTCGTTGCCAAACCATTAGCTCTTCCTCTCTCCATGGACCTACTTCTACTTACCGGGAGATTATTCAAACATGTCAAATTTCCATCGCTCGTGCAGATTTGTAGCCCAGTTCCCGTTCATGCTTTCCAATATCAGTGGCTTATCCACTTCTGATATTTACGGGAACCTCTTGAAAGGCGTTGACGTGGGGTGGTATGTACCAGGTAGCTTTTGGCCTTCAAACCCGATTCTCAAAGTGTAAGAGTTCTCTTCGATCGATTCTTTCATATATTTTCACGTCCTTGTTAATAGATTCGTTGTTTTTCTGGATATTCTAGATTGGCGATTATTCTGCAAACTCTGATTGCATATATACGAAGCAATCTGATCTTTCTTCTTTATGGAAGCACCAACACCGACTTTTATAATTATCGTCCATTTGGAAAAGGTTAGTCTTTCAGATTTCATGTATTTTATTTATTGGAATCGCCTTTGCATTCAAGCTTGTAATTATTGTTCAATTGGCGTTTTTACAGCAACCAGCTTTATTTTTCTTGCAATATCAGGTATTCTTATTTTCCCAACTATTTATGATATTATTATGTATGCATGCCTTCTCACCTTAATATCAATCAATTATGCCTACATCTCAAGACTGTAGATCTTTTACTAGAGAGAAAATTTACAGGTGTTTACAAAACACTAACTACTCATAAGAAAGATCTCTAGTATTGGAGAAAAAAATATTTAGGATGATTTTGAAGCTAAATAGGTTAGGGTATTTATAGTTGAAGCTTAGAGACTAATCTTATAAATATCCTAAAGTGTGCATGGACTAAAATATAATTTTATATTTTTAATTTTAATAAAAAATTGGGGCACCGAATTCGGTGCCCCTTTATTGAACTGTATGTAGGCGGTGCCCCTCCCACTGCTCCCCTTTTTCTGATTTTTAAAACCACCAATTTTGACTTTTCTTTTCAACAATCCCCTACTTAAAGACTGATTTTAATATGTGTTCACACCTCGATCGATGCAACAACATTTCTGGTCTTGTTACTCTAGCATACAACTGAAGCTAAACATAACTTTAGTTTGTCCGTAGTCACCGTTTTTGTTAACATGTTGTTGATTTTGAGTTCCACTAATCTTTTCAAGTTTCAAAATATCATCAAAAAGACCGGATAAAATGATATCGCAATTGTATGTGCTTCGTTCTGGAATGAAAAGTCGGATTCTTCACTAGATGGATAACACTTTGACTGTCGCAATACAAGACATTGTTTTCTTGTTTATTGCCTAACTCTTCCAAGAAACTTTGGAGCCAAATCATCTCCTTGCTGGCTTCCGTAACAACGACATATTTTGCTTCAGTTGTGAAGAGAGCAAATATCTTCTGTAGTTAAGAAACCCAACTTACTGCAGTTTTCCTAAAGTATAGATATACCCTGTAGTGCTTCTTCTGATGTCGACATTTTCACCTAAGTCAGCATCTACATAGTCTGTCAGTATCGTATATCCACCTTTGAAACAAAATGTTTTGTTTGTGGTACCGCAGATATCTGAGGATCCATTTGATTGCTTCACAGTGTACCTTGCTCGGATTATTCATGTACCTGCTAACAGCTCCCACTCGAATCTGACTTCGTTTGAATCATTTCTGACAATTCTTGCGAACCACCGTGTATTAGAACACTTCCGTCGACAAATTCGTATCGCCGACAAAATTTTTACTATTCACAAAATTCACTATTCACGTGAATAGTAATGAATAGTAACATCACAAAAAAATTGACAAAATTTACAACCAAAAGCTCTGATACCAATTGTTGGAAATAAACGAGTACGAATAATTTACCTATAACCAGATTAGTGAGAATGCAAAATAAAAGCGGAAAAATAATACCCAAAATTAATAACGGAGTTCAGCCAATTATGTCTACGTCTCAGACTGTTGCATATCTTTTACTAGAGGAAAATTTACAGGTGTTTATAAAACACTCACTACTCACAAGAAAATTCTCTAGTATTGGGAGAAAGAAATGATTTGGGATGATTTTGAAACTAAAGGAGTTAGGTATTTATAATTGAAGCTTAGAGACTAATCTTATAAATATTCTAAAGTATGCGGGACTAAAATATAATTTTCTATTTTTATTTTTAATAAAAAATTATGTGCCCCTTTGTTGAATTGTATGTAGGCGGTGCTCCCCCACTGTTCCCCTTTTTCCGATTTTTAAAGTCACCCATTTTGACTTTTCTTTTCCAACAAAATCTTACTCTGGTCACTCGAATTTTAAATTATAAATTAATGGGTTTCATTCGGATGCTAAATAATAAATGTAAGCGTGGCTTGGTAATTATGTGTGTTAATAAATTGATGGGAATCCATGGATCATCCATATCATTTTTTTATTTTATCTTCTTTCTTTAAAGATGAAAATTTTACAATTTCATCTCTATGTTATGTAATGTCGGAATTATCATTATAATTTATAATTTATCCTATAATTTGATAATTACCGGTAAATTTAATGAATGCTGATATATTCTTGTGTATGTGCTTTTTTGTGTGTGGGGGAAACAGGCATGATATTAGCAAGAACTTTGTTGGGGATATGTTGTTTGATTGCACTTGTTACACACAAGTTAAGGAGAAGACACTTGTCAATGGACGATAGCATTGAAAATTTCCTTCAAAGTCAAAACAATTTCATGCCTATTCGGTACTCTTACTTTGAAATCAAAAGAATGACAGAAGGTTTTAAAGTTAAACTAGGACAGGGAGGGTTCGGTTCTGTTTTCAAAGGAAAGCTCCGTAGTGGTCGGTTGGTGGCAGTAAAACTGTTGAGCAATTCCAAAGCAAACGGAGAAGATTTCATCAGTGAAGTTGCTACCATCGGAAGGATTCATCACGTTAACGTAGTGCAACTTATCGGATTCTGCGTAGAGAGATCGAGACAAGCTCTTGTGTATGATTTCATGGCGAATGGATCATTGGACAAGATCATATTCTCAAAAGAGACTTGCACTTTAAGCTGGCCAAACCTGTTGGAGATTGCACTCGGTGTGGCTCGAGGGATCGAGTACTTGCACAAGGGGTGTCAAATGCAGATTCTTCATTTTGATATAAAGCCACACAACATTCTTCTTGATGAAAACTTTGTCCCTAAAGTTTCTGATTTTGGACTTGCAAAACTATACTCAGTTGATGAGTATCATCTCTCTCACGGCGGCTCGTGGAACATTGGGGTACATTGCTCCTGAATTGTTTTACAAAAACATTGGAGGCATCTCATACAAAGCTGATGTTTATAGTTTCGGAATGTTGTTGATGGAAATGGTGGGTAGAAGAAAGAATTTGAATGCATCAGTTGAACATTCGAGTCAGATTTATTTTCCGTCATGGATATATGATCGGTTCGATCGGGGGAGAGCATGGAGTTAGAAGACGTGACAGAAGTTGACGAAAAGATTGCGAGGAAACTGATAATGGTAGCATTCTGGTGCATACAAATGAACCCCACTAATCGTCCTTCGATGAGCAAAGTGTTGGAAATGCTTGAAAATGAAGTTGAGCCCCTTGAATTGCCTCCCAAACCTTTACTGTTTTCTCTCGAAATGTCGACTGAAGATCGTGGTAAGAAGGATGCCATGGACGACGCAACTACGTCGAAAAGTTCTGTCGACCTATAACTGTAATGTTTGATTGTATTAGGAATATGTATACATATATATAGTTGAAAACTAGCTTCTGACTGCTATTTGAGAAGTATTTTGTCATGTTTTTGTACTACCACCCATACAATTGATGTTTATTATGTTTTACTGTCTGCAAATTTATTTCCCAAAATCTTTGCTTTGTTCTATTATATCATAGAATAACATCTGAATTTAAATTGTTAATACCATCTTTGGCTAAAGCATCTCTTATGAATTTCACAGAACCTGGTAGAAAAGAGTGTTAAGAAAGCGATGGGACAAAGTCCAACAATGTTATTACATTCCCATCTTTGTTACATATGATTTCCTTGTTTCATTCTATGATCCAATACCAATCAGATAGACCTTTTAAAAGATAGTATTAATTAATTACAAATTTCATCACTCAACTTTCTTCTTACTTCTATTTTGGTCACAATTTAAATTTTTTCGATTTACTCATTAAACTTCTGATTTGCTCATATTTTGTTCACTTTGTTATTAAATATTTTTTTGTGTGAAACCCCCCTGATTTTAAATTCACTTTGATTTCCCGATGATGAAACATCATCTTCTAAATTCCAAACGATAGGAAGGTGGAGAAGGATGAAGCGAGCTGTATATCATGATTCCACGTTGATCGGATGGTGGATATTATATTGTAGAGTGGTTTAGGATTTCATGAGTTTTGAGCTTAGGATTGAATTTATGAGTTTTAAAGATATTTATGTAAAATCTAAACTGATAGAATGATAGGAGATAATGAAACGAGTACGTCGATATCTTGAATGGTCGAATAAGACATCAGAGAATGATAATTGTAACACCAGAATGACACATAGATATATAAAACTTTCATCTTTGAATGAATAAGATAAAATTAAAAAAAAGGGAAATGATGTGGATGACACATGGATTCCATGTCAATAAACAACAATACACATCAGCACACATAACTATCAAGTTATTCTTCCATTTATGATTTAACACTCGAGTGACCAAAACATGAGCAAATTGAAAGTTTAGTGAGTAAATTAAAGTTTTTATAACTTTAGTGATCAAAATAAGAATGAAAAGAAAGTTGAGAGATGGAATTTATAATTTACTCTTAATTAAAGTTAAACTGGAGAGTTTATCGTTGAGTATAATCCTAAACAGATAGTATTAATTCAATGAGAGAGTTTAGGTATAATTCTAATACTTATTCTGACTAAAATAACTCTAATACTTTATAAAACCTAAAACATATGATTTCATATTATGTTTGGCAATGCCATTAGATAGACTCAAAGCATGGAGATGATGATGGAAAAAGAAGAAGACATGATCAGTAGCATACTGGATGATGTTCTCAGTCACATTCTGTCCTTTTTGGAACTAAGGGATGCTTTCAGAACAAGTCTTCTATCAAAAAGATGGGAAAAGGTTTGGACTTTGACTCATAATATCAACTTGAATAATCAATCATGTATGAGGAAATTCAACAAACGTTTGCCTGGGTTAGATGAGATT